ACCCACCTCGGAAGGATGGAAGGCTGAGTCAACCTTGAGCCGGTGAGATTTGAACCACTGATCTGCAGATAACAGTCAGCTGAAGTGGCCTGCAGTACTGCACCCTAACCACTGCGCCACCTGGGCTCTTGATCACCTTTGAGCCACCTGATGAAAGAAACCTGGCTCCTGGTTGACTCAGCCCTCCATCCTTCCGAGGTCAGTAAAATGAGGACCCAAGAGGCTGGCTCTGTAAACCGCTTAGAGAGGACCGTCAGGCGGCATATAAGTCTTGAGTGCTATTGCTAACTGAGGGGTGGGGAGGAGACTTCAGGGCAGAGAGGCGGCTTCAGCCTCTGAGTAAGTGGACAAACACAGCGTGAGAGGAGGCTTGTTCCAGCTTGGGGGGGGCAGGATCCTTGACGGGAGTTTCCTCTGGACCCCCAGGGAATTCCCTCCAACCTAGCTACGGGGCTTCTGGGACTTGCCAGTTCTTCCCTGGGGGGCCTGCAGGCCACTCACCTGCCATTGATCAGAACCTTCACTGGCCGGTTGTTGACTTGCTTGTCATTCGCGTGGCGATTCTGAAAAACGAAAGACGGCTGGAATCAGCCCAGCCCCAGAGAGGGCACCCAAGACTGGCACCTGCCCACCCCCCACCCCCCCTAGGTAACTGCAGGATTCCAGGAGCCCTAAAAGCAGGGAGTGTCTGTGCCCTGGACAGATTTCTCCAGCAGGACAGCTGATGTCAAGGAAGGGGAGCCCCCCCTGGAACATTTACTGCCCTTCCTCTCAAATCTCCACCGTTTGCATTGTCTGGACTTGGGTGGAGGCCGAGAGCAGCTGTTCTGAAGCCTCCTCCAGATCCCCCTCCCCCCCCTCTTTGGCCACAGAGGAAGTCTCGCCTGGACACAAGGGCGGGAGATGGGTCCCAGCTGCTTCGGGAGGAGACTGTTTACTCCCATGATTTCAATTTGGATTTGGGGCCCAGCGTAGGGTTAATGCAGTTAGCCGGGATTGTAGCATTGATTGTGCATCGTCACCGCGCTCTTACAACGTCATCCATGGCATCCTTGACTGCGGACACGGTCAGGACCAAGACCAGAGGCACCACTGTGGTGAACCAGGAGAGGGAGGAGATCTCAGGGATGAGCTGCAGAGGGAGAGAAAAATCAGGATGCCCGGAAGGCTCAGGGGCATTTTCCACCCTGACTTGGCAGGCAGAGAGGCTAAAGAAGAGGCCCAGCCTGGGAATCAGCCTCGGGTGGCCATGAAGGCCTCTATTCCTGGAGAGCATGAAGGAGGCCAGCTGTGGTGGTGGTGTTGGTGGTGGTGGTGCTGGAGGAGGAGGAGGAGGAGGAGGAGGANAGTAAAATAAGAGGGTTAAAAAGGGGAAATAACATAAGGAGAATTGTATCGATTTGAAATTACTATTAGAAAGAACAGGAAGTTCCTGTTTTTGTTGTATTGTGTAAATGTAGTGTACGTCTAAGTTCTGTGTGTGTGTGTATTTTGTATGTTTATAAATTTTAAAAAATATTTAAAAAAAGAACCCAACAAGGGGAAGGCAATTTGTCTGAAGTGGTTTAGGGCTGGATCAACTTTGAGCAGGGGGGGCTGGACTAGAAGGCCTCCGTGATCCCTTTCAACTCCTTGATTCTTCTACGTCTCCCCCGTTGTGAGAGCCCCACGGGGAAGGCAGGCAGGCACGCTTGGGCTGAGGAAGGCCAACCTTGGCCAGGAGACCTGGCTGCTCTCTCTGGGGCAGCCCACGTTATGAAGGGCACCCCAACAAGCAAGACTCACCACCAAGACCAAGTAGTTCATGAGGCGTTCGATGCTGGTCCGTTTCAAAGTGGTCTTTCCGCTGTTCTGCATCAGCTTGGTGTCTGGCCCTGGGGGAACCAACCACGGGGGTTTGCTTTAATTTCAGGATCCGAATGATCTGCACCCAGGAAGGCAGGAGCTCCTGTCCCTTCTCCCCAGGCCCCCAACTCACCACCCACCCCCATTGGAAAGGAGAGAAACCTATTCAAAGAGGGCAGGAGGGGGGCAGTGCTTACTCTGGGGGGGGGGGACTGAGGACAAGCAGAAGAGGAAAAGGCCTGAGGGGGGGGGGCTCTGGAGCCGCCTCCTTGGTGAAGTGTTAGGCGTGCCACGGGGTGACTGAATGCCGAAGTGCCACAACCGTGGCGCCAGAGGCACAGAAGCCCCTGGCACCAGCTCTGGCACAGGGGAAGTGGGGCTCTGATCTTCTGGGGAACCAGCTTCCCAAATGCTGCCCAGGGGCGAATGGGAACCTTTTGCCATGCTCAGGTGGCAAAGGGGTTGACTTGTGCCCGTAGCGATCCCAGGATCTAAAAGGCAAAACAAAACCCTCCAGCCTATTAATTTATTTGGAAATTGAAGTTGCTATGGCAGGCTGGCCGCACGAAATATCTTGGATGGCATACGATGAATCTATACGGTATGCGGCTGGATTGGAAGAAGGGGAGGATTTAAAACTGGAGGAAGAGACACCCACCACCTGCGTTGGGCTGCAAGCCCTAGTAGTAAAAACCACAGGCCACAAATGGGACTAAAATTAAATCTAAAGGAAGCCAAGCGAATGGCAACAGACAGAAGAGCTGGCAGTAGAGAGATTGGTGGCGGAGAGCTTTTCCCCTTTAGGACCAGTTTCAGAACCGTGGCAACAGTCAATCCACGGGGTGATCACTTCAGGTGACCCTGCGCAGCGGTGAAGCTCTGCAACTGGCCTGGGAGAGGAGGGACGCCGGGGGCCCTGCCCTCCAGGGGCTCCTTGGGGGGCCCTTCAGGCAGGCTGTGCCGCTATCTGGGTGCCCTAGAAGCACGCGGAGGTCCAGTGCGGGGAAGAGGGCGAAGGGGGTGGGTGGGAGTGAGAAGGGCTGCAGTGGGAGGGACCCAGGGGAGAAGAGGGTGACCTCCCCCTGCCCCCTCCGGCCAGTGCCAGCCACGACCCCTCACCCACCGGCAAAGATGACCAGCCCGAAGCACCAGTCGGTGTTGCGGATGATGCAGCCCCTCAGCAGCAGCTGGTCGTTGTCCAGGGCATATTTCTCCTTCTTGAAAATGAGGGTCCCAGTGAACCTGCCCAGCCGGTTGTTGGGGGCTTCGCAGCGGATTTCCCCTGCAGAAGAGGGGATGATGACTCCCAGAGCCTCCTCCTCCTCCTTCCCCACCCCACCCCCTGGCCACCCTCCATGCCTCCTTCAGCCCCCTCCCCACGGGCAAGGTCCTCGCCCCTCCCCCACAAGTGGCTCTGCCACCTACCTCCTGCCCCCCCCCTCACCCCCACCTCGGTTGTTTTCTGGCAGGTCTGAAGAGACTCCAGAGGAAGGATGCACAGCGGGTCCCCCTCTCCTCCTGGCCCAGCCCCCCAACCACATGGGGCTGGCAGACCCTGTGGGTGAGGGCCCTGCCAACATACCCACCCTGGAAGGAGCTGCCATGCCGGAGTGCCACGCCAAGGCCCCTCGGCCCTCAGAGGAGTGAAGAGAGGCAGGGAGAGAAGGAAAGAGTGCAAAGATCTGTGAAGAGAAGGGGGGAGTCGGGGGGGGGGAGGCAGAGAGACAGTTGGGAAGACCCCAGAGGAGGGAGGTCTGGAGGCCGTGCCTGCCTAGAGGACATACCGTGCAGGAGTGGGTAGTAGTGGACAACTATATTAGTGCAAGAGAGTGTGTGCAATGTGTCTGCAGCCTTTGCCCTCAGGCGTGCCAATTGTTAGTATTATTATTTGGGGGCTCCAGGGTGACTTAAGAGTTTAAAAGCAGAAATCAGTGAAGACAAGGTCCTTCCAGACAACCACACCCCATAACCCATAAGCCACAATCAGCAGGCCTTCACAACCACCCCACCGAGGCTGGGAGCACATCCTCAGGGTGGGAGCAACGGAGGTGAAGGAATTGGGAGTCACAACTGACACGATGCTCTCTGGCTTTGCACCCCACAAAAGGCTCACCCAGCTGGGCCATTTCTCTGGCCAGGCAAGGGGAGAACCCCTAATGGGGGCAGACTCCCAATCACAGCCCCTCAGGTGGCTCGGGGCCCTCCCCCAGCCCCCAAGAGGGCCCCGTCTGACTCCCCACTTCCCAGGGTCCCACTCCCACTCAACCTGCTATCCTCGTGGACCGTCTGCTCGAGAGGAAGGGGGAGCCAGGGAAAAGCGGGTGGGGAGCCAACCCTGACCCAGAGCTGCCCCCAGCCCCTCCCTCTGGGGCTCCAAGGGGCCCTCCGGGGGCAGAGGTCCAGGCCTGCCCTCCCCTCCGTACCATTAAAGCTGCTCAGAGCCTGCAGGTCCCCCCCCAGCCCCGCCGTGACGGTCAGCGCCTGCTTCACCTTCAGGTTGGTTTCCCTGCAATGAGAGAGTGGAGGGAGATCAGGTGGCCGGGGGGGGGGGGATCCAGACGGGAGGCGTCCCAGGGAGGTTCTCTGGAGGTTGGGTCCGGCTGCCCACCGAGGGGGAGGGGGCTCAGACACTCACCCGTCCAGTTCCGTCGTCTCAATGTAGGTCAGGCTGTGGGGCTCACTGCTGCAGAGCAAGAGGATGTCTGCCTGCCAAGGGGGAAGCGTTGGTGAGAAACGGCAGGCCGGGAATGCCAGCTGCACCCCCCCCTCTCCACGGATCATGGTGGAAAAGACCCCCGGAAGGCATGGCAGGCTGGTGGTTGCGGACCTCAGTCCCATTAGATTCCCCCCAGTCTGACCAGTGGCACGGAATGCCAGGGGTTGTCCTTCTGCAACATGCCAAGAGACTGCTTGTCCTCTCTGTCTCCCCCCCAGCGACCACGGTTGTGCCACGTGGCCCCCGTGCCCAAAGGCTGCAGGTGGGAGATGCAGAGAGGGCCCCAGTCCCAAGCACGTCCCTCTCCAGCCTCCCATCGGTGTCCTGCTCCGGCTGGGCTTCTTTCAATGGCTGCCCAAGGAGCAACTTCCACGCTGGTGCCTATTTGGACGATGCTGGACGGACGGGGCTGGTCCCTAAGGAGCCTCCTGGGACACCCTTGCCCTGAGGGGGTGGGGGAGGAGCTGCCTTCGCTTACTGTCACGAAATGATTGTTCTCCAGCTTGATGATGTCTCCCACTTCAACGTTGAGCCACAAGTCTTCCTTCAAACTAGAAGAAAAACCCCCAGTTACAAAAGCACCAGAGGGAAGGGCATCCCTTGGCATAGCAAGACTCCTGCATCTTTTTGGGGGGGGGGTTGGGGGAGCAGCTGTGAGTTGGCGAGGAGCCTGATTGGCATCAAGATGCTTCCTGGCGTTGGGAGGATTTGTGATTCTGATTTCAGGTAAAATTGTGTATTTTGGATAAGTGATCACCATGTGTGCTGGGAAAAGAGGCAGATAGATTCTCTCTAGTGCAGTGTTTCTCAACCTTGGCAACTTGAAGATGTCNTTTCCCTGCTTGCAGCCCCTATCATATATTAAAGGTTAATTGATTTTTTTTCCCCAACAACAGTCTCCCCCAACCTCAAAGGGTATTTAAATTATAACTTCCATAGCTGTGGATAAATTTGCTCAAAGTTCCAACATATCCGGGATATTCTGCCATAAGCATCAGATCTCCTCTCATCCATACATGGCTACTGCAATTAGCAGATATTTTCCCACCAACTGATGACATGGAGGATAGATGAACTAGGAAACAGAGTTAGGAGGGACCCACCAAGAGGTTTACATAAGACGTGCACATGATTTGCCTTGGAGGCAAATCAGCACAGACAATACAATACAGGCAGGATAGGAATTGACGCAGAGGGCAGCAAATGTTATGCTGACGTACTTTTCCACTAACTCAAGGACAAGGGATAGCACTTTAATTCAGTGGCGAGAAATGCTCACAAGCAGCGGTATGGGAGAATACAGAAAGAACAATGAAAATACTGAAAAAGACCACATGGAGGCAAAGAAAAGGAGGGATACCACAAACAATCAAATAAAAGGATTTTAAGCTTGAAGAGAACAGTCTATAATTTGGGAAAAAAATATTGAAATGTACCTAAGAAGGGGCCGTCTCTTCTCCTGATCCTACAAACATTTACAAACTAGTTTCCCCCCTATTGAACTTGAACGTTGTTATTTCCCCTCCCCTTCTCCCCGCACTCCCCTTCCCAGGGAATTTTTTTTTACCCAGAAGCAGACAGTCCATGCTACCTGAGATTCAATGCCCTGTGCAAATCATGGACTTTTCTTCCCAAATTTAGTTGTAGAATTTCAGTGAACATACAATAATGAAGGCAATTTGTTTTCTGTTAAACCTCATTTAAGGGAGGGAAGGAGGGAGGGGATTATTTTATGTCATTTTCTTTTGGAGTAATGGACTGCTACAGGATTTTAAAAAATAGAAAATAGTTTAAGTCGACATGTAAGGTGAGTTTATGAACTTTTTCTTATTATGTCATGATTTCTCAAACCGAGAGGCTTGAGGGTCTGTGGCAGTGGTGGGATTCAGCCAGTTCGTACCTATCAGGGAGAACCAGTTGTTAACTTTCTAAGCAGTTCGGAGAACCGGTTGTTGGAAAAAATCTCCCTTTGTTTTTTTTTCACTTTACAGGGCTAA